GCTGTGTGCGGGGCCGTGTGCGTGCGTGCGTGCGGGCGCGGGCCTGGGCAAATCGACCTGTCAGCGTGGCTGGTCCTGTCCTGGAGCGTCGAGCCTTCCCGGTGTTCCCCGGAGGGGGTCGGGGATAGGATGAGAGATGTTGAATGGGGGCGGGAGGGGCGCCGGGAAAGTGGGGAGGAAACTACCAACTTGCTGAGCGCGCTCCTGATAATGCTGGTGAGGGTCAAGTTGGCGTCTGGCTCAAAGAAGGGCGCTCGGGGCAGAGAGGGAGGGAGGGAGGGGACGTTTGTTCGTTGGCATTGACCTCTGCGGGGGAGGGGCCAGGGACCCCTGCCGCGCCCCTGTACCCAGACGGGGATGGGGCGAGGAGGGGGTGCTGGGCCCCAGGGAGGGGCGCCCGGGGAGACCCGCGACCGGAGCAGTCCAGCCGCCGGGGGCACGCCGCTGTCCCGTTCCGTTAAACTCAACAAAGAAGGGATATGCGTATTCCTAACAAGTGCAGGATATTTAATTGATTCATAAACTTATGTATAATAGTTTGTGGGTTCTTTAAAACGTACTTTATAATGTAAGAAGCACCAGGGTTTTATGTTTAATTATCTTAAAAATAATTTTTCTCTCGTCCTTTTCCTTTTTGATCTTGTGTTGGTTATTTTTTAAATGTCGAGGTGTTTTTTTTAAACTCTAAAATGTGAACGTTTCCTTCAGCCCTCCCACCGAAACTGAGAACGAACGACGAAACAAATAAAAACCCCAGATCATCCTCGTCAACGCAGGAAAACGACTTGAAAAAAAAAAAAAACTAAAAACGAACGAAAAAAAAGGGAAAAACACTCAGCTTTCGTTATCCCCGCACAGGGCGGGGCAGGCCCGGTTCTTTTAGCGTCCCCAGAGCCGCGAGGACATTACAACAAAAATAGAATTTTTTTTTCTTAATCTCTTAACATACAAAGATAGGAAAACTCTCTGATGCATTGCACTTGGTTCAATGAAAAAAAAAAAAGTTCATTTCCCCCATATATATTTTTGTGTTTTTTTTTTTTTCTCTCCTAACACGTCCCCACATCTGTTGCCCTCATTGCCCCTCACAACACCACTTGGGAAAGGAGCAGCCCCCACCCCCTGCCCGCCCGGGCAGCCCCGC